GCCCGGGTGCAATTGTAAATGGGATCGATTCCTTAATTTTTCTTTCTTCTTCTCATTGTTAGTGTATAAAAATGCAACTGATTTCTGTACATTGATTTTATATCCTGCCACTTTGCTGAATTCCTGTATGAGTTCTAGCAATTTTGGGGTGGAGTCTTTTGGGTTTTCCATATAGAGTGTCATGTCATCTGCAAAGAGTAAGATTTTGACTTCTTCTTTGCCTATTCACATACCTTTTATTTCTTTTTATTGTCTCTTTGTGAGGCTAAGACTTCTGTGTTGAACAACAGTGGTGATAGTGGACATCCCTGCCATGTTCCTGACCTTAGGGGAAAAGCTCTCAGTTTTCCCCCAATGAGAATGATATTTGCTGTGGGCTTTTTGTAGATGGCTTTTATGCTATTGATATATGTTCCCTCTATCCCTACATTGTGGAGAGTTTTAATCAAGAAAGGATGCTGTACTTTGTTAAATGCTTTTTCTGCTTGTTCTTTCTTTTATTAATGTGGGGTGTGTCACATTGATTGATTTGCAAATGTTGAACCACCCTTGCAGCCCAGGAATAACTTTGATTTAGTCGTGGTGAATAATCCTTTTAATGTACTGTTGGGTCCTATTGGCTAGTATCTTGGTGAAAATTTTGGCATCCGTGTTCATCAGGGATATTGGTCTGTAATTCTCCTTTTTGGTGGGGTCTTTGTCTGGTTTTGGAATCAAGGTCATGCTGGCCTCATAGAAAGAATTTGGAAGTTTTCCTTCCCTTTCTAGTTTTTGAAACAGCTTCAGAAGAATAGGTATTAGTTCTTCTTTAAATGTTTGGTAGAATTGCCCTGGGAAGCCATCCGGCCCTGGACTCTTCTTTGTTGGTAGATTTTTGGTTACTGCTTCAATTTCCTTGCTGGTTATGGGTCTGTTCAGGTTGGTTCCGTTTTGGTAGTTTATATGTTTCTAGGAATGCATTCATTTCTTCCAGATTACCTAGTTTGTTGGCATGTAGTTGCTCATAATATGTTCTTATAATTGTTTGCATCTTTGGTGTTGGTTGTGATCTCTCCTTTTTCATTCATGATTTTATTAATTTGGGTCCTTTTTTCTTTTTGATAAGTCTGGCCAGGGGTTTATTGATCTTATTCTTTCATAGAACCAGCTCCTAGTTTTGTTGATTAGTTCTGTTCTTTTGGTTTCTATTTCATGGATTTCTGCTCTAATCTTTATTAATTCTCTTCTCCTGCTGGGTTTAGGCTTTATTTGCTCTTCTTTCTCCAGCTACTTTAGGTGTAAGGTTAGGTTGTGTATTTGAGACCTTTCTTATTTCTTGAGAAAGGCTTATATTGCTGTGTACTTCCCTCTTAGGACTGCCTTTGCAGCATCCGAAAGGTTTTGAACAGTTGTGTTTTCATTTTCATTTGTTTCCATGAATTTTTTAATTCTTCATTAATTTCCTGGTTGACCCATTCATTTTTAGTAGGATGCTCTTTAGCCTCCATGTATTTGAGTTCTTTCCAACTTTCCTCTTGTGATTGAGTTCCAATTTCAAAGCATTGTGGTCTGAAAACATGCAGGGAATAATTTCACTAATTTCACTCTTTTGGTACCAGTTGAGACCTGATTTGTGACCCAGTAAGTTTTCCATTCTGTGGAATGTTCCATGTGCACTCGAGAAGAATGTGTATTTTGTTGCTTTAGGATAGAATGCTTTGAATGTATGTGAAGTCCATCTGGTCCAGTATGTCATTCAAAGCCATTGTTTCCTTGTTGATTTTCTGCTTAGATGATC